TCTACAAATTCAACGTAATACCTATCAAAATTCCACCCTCATTCTTCAAGGAAATAGAAGAGGCAATCCAAAAATTCATATGGAACAATAAAAGACCCCGAATAGCAAAAACGCTCCTCAACGGAAAGAACACTGCTGGAGGAATATCAATACCAAATTTCAAACTCTACTATAAAGCCATAGTAATCAAAACAGCTTGGTATTGGCATAAGAACAGACCTCAGAACCAATGGAATAGAATTGAAAACCCAGAAATGAACCTACAGACCTATAGCCATCTAATCTTTGATAAGGGAGCTAAAACAATAGAATGGAAGAAAGACAGCCTCTTCAGTTAATGGTGCTGGCAAAATTGGTTAACTACATGTAGAAAACTAAAGCTAGATCCTTATATATCATCCTGCACCAGAATCAACTCCAAATGGATCAAAGACCTTGAACTCAAAGCAGACACTCTGAAAACATTACAGGATGGAATAGGAGAAACCCTAGGTCTCCTTGGCTCAGGCCGAAATTTTCTGAATAGAGACCCGGAAACACAACAAATCAAAGAAAGATTGGACAAATGGGATTGCATAAGGTTGCAGAGCTTCTGCAGGGCAAATGACATAGCTAGCAAGATCAATAGAAAGCCCACGGATTGGGAGAAGATCTTTACTAGCCATACAATGGACAAGGGTCTCATATCTAAAATATACTTGGAACTCAAAAAATTAAACCACCCAACAACAAATCCTCAAAGAAACAACTGCCCAATAAATAAGTGGGTGAAACACTTAAAGAGAAGCTTCTCTGAAGAAGAAAGAAGGATGGCCAATAGACACATGAAGAAATGTTCAACATCCCTAGCCATAAAAGAAATGCAAATCAAAACAACATTGAGATATCACCTCACTCCAGTTAGAACAGCAAAAATCAAGAACTCTAACAACAACAGATGCTGGAGGGGATGTGGACAGAAAGGAACCTTACTTCATTGTTGGTGGGAATGTAAACTTGTTCAACCACTTTGGAAAGCAGTATGGAGGTTCCTCAAAAGACTTCACATAGAACTCCCCTATGACCCAGCAATCCCACTTTTGGGGATTTACCCTAATGTTTACAAAAAAGACCACACTAAAGCTACCAGCACAACTATGTTTCTTTCTTTTTTTTGGCTGGTTGTGGGGCTTGAACTCTGGGCTTGGGCGCTGTCCCTGCGCTCTTCAACTCAAGGCGAGCACTCTACTGCTTGAGCCACAGTGCCACTTTAGTGGCTTTTATTGGAGATAAGAGTCTCACAGACTTTCCTGCTCTGGCTGGCTTTGAACCTCGATCCTCAGATCTCAGCCTCCTGAGTAGCTAGGATTACAGGCATGAGCCACCGGCGCCCAGCTTGTTGCTGGTTTCATGCAGGTAAAGTATTAAGATATACTTTTCATAATGTGACAGGCTAAATATTTCTGGCTTGTGTAATTCAGGTTTTCTTCTTGTTGTTGAATTACTAAAACATTCCAAAGTACGTATTGGCTACTTTCTCTAGAATATTATTTTGGTGACTAAGGAAATCTGAAATATGGAGAATGTTCTGAGAAGAGTTTTAAAGAGGATACTACGTTTTCAATTAACACAAAAACATTGATGACTTACTGCTTTTTTTGTAAAAAAAAAAAAACTAAAGTACTTTAAATATTTAGCAAGAAGGGTCATTAAGTTGAAAATAAACAGTTTTCTATATCTTTTTTTGTTTTGTTTTGTTTTTGTTGGTTGCAGGGCTTGAACTCAGGGCCTGGGCTCTGTCCTTGAGCTTTTATGCTCAAGGCTAGTGTTCTACCACTTTGAGCCACAGCTCCACGTCCAGTTTTCTGGTGCTTAATTGCATATAGGAGTCTCATGGACTTTCCTACTCGGGCTGGCTTTGAACTATGATCCTCAGATCTCAGCCTCCTGAGTTCAAGCTGCACGACCAACAAAAATAAAAAAATTAAAAGAAAGATGTCTTTTAGTACCATTTTCACTTAGTAATTTTTTATTTTGCTATTTTAATCTTAAATAATTTCTTCTTTTTTTTTTTTTTTTGGGTCCGGTTGTGGGGCCTGAACTCTGGGCCTGGGCGCTGTCCCTCAGCTCTTCAGCTCTAGGCTAGCGCTCTACCACTTGAGCCACAGCATCACTTCCGGCTTTTTTCTTTTTGCTTATGTGGTGCTGAGGAATCGAACCCAGGGCCTCGAGCATGCAAGGCAAGCGCTCTACCACTGAGCCACCTTCCCAGCCCCAAATAATTTCTTCTTTAAGCAACTCAACCCTACATACATAAAAATTAAGTCCCGTGCATCATACAAACTACTGGGAAAAAAAGAATAAGGCATACTTCTCTAATTAAAAAAAATTTTTTTTTGTCAGTCCTGGGGCCTGAACTCTGGGCCTGGGTGCTGTCTCTCAGCTCTTTAAATCAAGGCTAGTGCTCTACCACTTGAGCCATAGCAACACTTCCAGCTTTTTTCTGCTTATGTGGTGCTGAGGAATTGAACCCAGGGCCTCATGCATGCAAGGCAAGCACTCTACCACTGAGCCACCTTCCCAGCCCTGTCTTATATATTCTTTATAGATACCATGTAAAATCAGTACTCCTGCATTTAAAATTTATCAAGAATTTTTTTACAAGAGGAATACTCAACTTCACTAAATGTCTTTGAAGCACATACTGCTGTATTATTATTTTAATGTGTCATGATATTATATTAGCTTACATTCTATTTAGAATTTCTGCATCAGTATTCATAGCTGATAGTGGTAGAATGCTCGCCTTGAGCTGAAGAGCTAAGGGACAGAGCCCAGACCCAGATTTCAAGCCCTTGGACTGACCAAAAGAAAAAAAAAAGAATATATGAGACATCAGGAAAACAAGAATGTGGGCTGCTAACAAAATTAACAAAAGCAATATTGTTTATTTTCTTTTAAAATCAGCATTACTCTTTTGGTTGCCAGTGAATTTTGGATAGTTAATTTTCCCTGGACATACTGACCAAGAAAATTAGCCAAAGAATGATGAAGATTGATGTATTAACATTAGAAAAAGATAATGAATGATTGCACTGTTCCCTTAGTAAAGGAGAATGAATGATTGCACTGTTCCCTTTATCCCGTTTATACTTTGTCTTACGTGGGTTAAATTTTCTTTTCTATGTATTGTCCCTTTTTTCTTTTGATCTCCACTGTTTTTCATTTTTGCAGAAAGATTAAATTATTATTTTCTTAAAAGACTATCATGCCACTACTTTTTAAATTCTTATTTTGTTTTGTTTTTTTTTTTTTTTTTTGGTCCAGTTGTGGGGCTTGAACTCTGGGCCTGGGCGCTGTCCCTGAGGTCTTCAGCTCAAGGCTAGCGCTCTACCACTTGAGCCACAGCACCACTTCTGGCTTTTTTTTTCTGCTTATGTGGTGCTGAGGAATCGAACCCAAGGCTTCAGACATGCAAGGCAAGCACTCTACCACTGAGCCACCTTCCCAGCCCCTACTTTTTAAATTCTTATACAACATAGTATGTGATTTTCAGCTCTTCTAGGCTGCAGTTCTGTTCCATGAACTTTCATTTTTAGTCATCAGATTGAATCTCCCCTGTCCTGTGATTCTCCTAATCTCTGCTAGGTAGGTGCTCCACCACTGGTGCCAGCCTTTGTCCTTTTGATTATTGTTTGGTTAAGGTCTTGTGCTTTTTTTCCCGTATCATCCTGGACTGTAACCCTCCAGGGCATGTCTCTGTGTTGTGGATGAGTTTGGTACTGGGGTAAGTTCAGTGTTGTATAACTGTATGTTGAGATGACCCACCACGTTTTAATTGCTTAAACAAAATTAATTTAGCTTTTAGTACAGCTGGGTTTTGTTTCAAACCATAGTTTTGCACTAACTTACATTGTATTCATTTTTATAGCTTACATTCTTTCAAATTTGTTTATTCCTAAAATGTGATGAATGTAAATTTACAGGTTCCATAGAATTATGTCAAAATATTACCCGGATCATATTGGTAATATCACAGCTGTCAAAATTCTTGTCCTGATGCTTTCTATTAGGAACCAGGTCGCTAGAAAGGTAATAGAATCTCCTCTTAGCATCTGGATAATGAAAATAAAATCCATCTTCCAGACTTTTACAGAGTTTGCTTAACTTTAACTATAATTAAAGAGTGTATTTATTTGATACCTTTTAAAATTAGAAAAAAATATATATATAAAATGGGAGACAGGTTTCTTCAACTATGAATAAGAGGCTGAAGTGTTTTTTTCAGTATAAATGTAAAGGACTCCTATGTAAGAGCTGAAGAGAGTAAACTGAAACATCTAAGCTTATGCATTTGTAAAACCTTGTTTCACTTCTTTAGATTTAAGACTTTTAGAAACATTGCCTTCCATTGCATAGGTTCTTGTTTTCCTGTTTCTTGGGTCCTGATGATAGGAAGTGAAAGACCTGTTACTTTATTTATTAATGTAATTGGTTTGTTTTATAACATGAGAAAGTGATCTTACTTAAGTATTGTGAGAAATGCCTCTGTTCAAAATTTGAATTTTGGGGAAAGATGGCATCAGAAAGAATGAACCATCAGTAAGAGGAGCCCCGGTGTGCGGAGTGCCAGCTGGTGCCCCCTTGGTGGCCCTCACCTGGTGGCTGCGGGCTTCTCACCTCTGCCTGATTCGTCATTTGTGTTGTGTAGACATACAAAGGACAAGTGATACTTGAAGTGTTGACACAATGTAGTTCTAGAAATTATAGATTTCAGAACTCTAACTTGTTTATTCAGGAGGAATGTGGTTTCCATGAGGAGGCTTTTTTCCATCTGAGTCACATTGTATGCACTGGATCATAGTAATTAATCAGTTATAGATGCATATGTGCCATCTGTAAGATACTTAAACACATGACTTTAGAAAGTTCTAGGGGCCTGTTTTGATTCACAATTATAAAATTATCGAATTATCTGTTCTTGTTGCATTTAAACTCAGATCCTTTTGATTTCCTTCCAGATTCATGAAAAATTGCACTACTATGAGAGCCAGAGTCCTGTGCCCATTCTCCATAGTGCAGCAGCTTTGGCCGATGACGTAAGTGTGCCTTCCTGAGGGCATTGGATGTGTCTGCCACCGTGGAACCCACCTCAGTGCCCACAGAGAAGTGTGGTCCCAGGAGAGAAAACTAGAAGTTGCACTGTTTCCAAAAGCCCCAGGCATTGCAAGCTTATGCTAATGATGTTATGTTGATTTTCATCCACTTTCTTGTTCTAAAATGGTACATGTAGCTACCCTCTATGCCTTATTAACTATATCACAGAAGTTTTTAGACTTCAAACTCGATGAGGAGAGAGAAACTGTCAGGCATTGGTATTCTGAGAAAAATCTCACACAAAGGGAATGTTTTGGAGAAATAAAGATAAATGAGATAGTTATACTGCTGACAGTACTAAAAAATGACAGGTACTAGGATAGGAATGAGGCCTATGAAATACATAAAAAGACAGAATTGTTTTAAAAATGGATTATGAAGCATAGTGATGATTTATGGATATTAGACTTTTCCAAATTACCTTTTCTAACCAAAAAATACGTTTGAGAAGCAGTTGGCATTGATGGAGTAGTTAATTTCCTGTAGCTATAATTTTATTTTAAGCCTGGGAGAGGGGACTAACTTGCAGTTCCCACTGTTAAGTTTCGGACTCGGATGAGTTGAGAGCACACCTGGATAAACTGTAAGAACACTCAGCTACACTCAAACTATGCTTATAGGGTGTTGTGGTAGCTTAGGCCTGTAGCTTATTTGTTGATTTTAATTTTTTTCTTTATTATAATTTTTACTTCTGATCATTATCTTTATTTTTCAAGTCAATGGTAATTCAGGTTAGTAAAATATCAGAGTCATAAAATAACAGAAGAAAAACTGTCTTTAGTAGCTGATTTTCTTGGCTGGAAAATAAAGTGCATGTGATGTTTGAACAAGTTGTGCGTTGTTTAGTGTTCAGACATTTCCCTTGCATTTTTATTTACAGACATAAACAGGTTTTAGTGCCTACATTTAGTGAGGAAGCTTACTTTTGCATTACAGAAACCAAAACTCTTGAAATGAAGGCAAATAAAGGTCTAAATATAGTTGCATGAGTAAACTTCAGTTGCAGTTTAAACCTACTTTAAAAAGGGATATATATTCAATATTCATATAACATATAAATATATATAATATTCAATATATATAACATTCAATATATATTGAATATTATGACTATTCATCTATCTATCCATCTATCTATGTACAAAAATTGAACCAGTTAAGTTGAGGGGATAGGGTGGGCTTGGGAGAGATGGAGAATGATGGATGAAAGAGCTGATATTGATCAAGATGCATTGTACTTATAAACTGATGTCTTGAATTGATGAAACCCTTTTGTACAACTAAAGATAATTTTAAAAAGACGAAAATGGTTATTGCTGAGGGTTTTGAGGGGAACCATTTGTGTAAAAACCAGTGTAACTGAGCCCCAGTCATAATATAATATTTCTTTTTAAAAATTTAGAATCTCAGCCAGGAGCTATCACTCTGGTAGCGTGTATGAGACCTTGGCATCTGAGTTTTAGCCTCAAAAAAAAAAATACTATGTAATTACAATAAACCATAAAATGTCACCCAAGCAATGCATTTGATGTTAAAATGTATAATGTATTAGGTGAGTAAAGAATATGAAGAGCCCTTTATGTCTCTTTGTAAGTTAAACATTCTATTAAGGTAAAAGTAATTTTTTGGTAATTAATTAATGAATCTAACAATTTTCTCTGATTTCACTTTCTTTTAGAGAAAAGTCATTTTCTAGATATAGGAACTATCATTTTCAACCTGGTAGGAACAATATAGGCAAGTGGACATTGCATGGTATGTTTTACGAAGGGTTCTGAAGTAAAAATAAATCCATATATTCTGAATTATACATGGCATGCTTTTCTTACTATAAAATTTATATTATCTTTCCTATAGCCCCAAATTGAACAGAAATCTTTGTAGGAAGATCTCCTTTTAAGTTTTATCTTTATCTTTTATTGAAGATGATGATTGTATATATTTATGGGGTATAGGAGTGGTACTTAGATATGTGCATGCATGCACATGTGTATGCATACACACACAAATAATCAAGTCAAGATAATTAGCTTGTTCATTGTATCAAACATATATCATTTCTTTGTGGTGAGACTATTTAAAGTCTCCTGATATTGAACATGTGGCAGGTTGAAAATTCCAATCTTTTCTTTAGATAGAATCAACAAATGGGAATTCTTCATCATTAAATAGAGTCAGCATTTTTGGAACCAGAGTAGTTGTTAAACTGTTATGAGTTTATGATGAACTTAGCTTATATTTAAAAGACTTCTTAGTCTGTGTAAGTAAATATAATAAAAGTTTCAGGTCATTTACTCTTATTAGGACCATTCTATTTCTTTTTACTCCAGTGTTAAACAGCACAGCTACTGTAGGGTTTTGGAAACCCTGTGGATTTTACCACCTCATTGAGAAGCTCTCCAACTCTTTCTCTTTGTACATTGTCAAAGCTTGATCCAATCCTTTATTACAAATGGTCCTTTGTCTGCCTGCAAAAGACCGTTCCACAGATGAAGTGCTGTGATTTGCCCTCATGGCAGTAAATCTGAATGTGATCTGGCTGACATGATTACTTCAGCTGTGCCCAGCCAAGAACCTGGGCTTGGATCTGGTCTTTTGAGTGTTTGTGAAGACACACTGATTAATTTTCTTTCCTACTGTCTTGTCCTGTAACACTGGCGAGTAACAACCTCCAGCAAAATCGATTCTCACTTGTGACCCAGCACACTCACAGTGTTCTTGCTAAACATTACTTATGCCGATGTAATCTCCCTTGCAGCTGGCCGAAGAGCTACAGAACAAGCCATTAAACAGCGAGGTCAGAGAGCTGTTGAAACTGCTGTCAAAACCCAACGTGAAGGTGAGGACATGTTACCCCTGTAATAAATACCTTCCAAAAGGGCCACTTTCAGAGCTGTCAGATGAATTGTTCTAGGCATCAATTTTCAAGTGAATGTGCTTTCAACTAGTGTGCAGTATGCTAGTAGCCTATATCCTATTAAGGAAAAAGAGTAGAGTGTAAAAAAATTATAATAAACTACCCAGGAGTTTAATTGGGGAGCTCAGATTTTGAATTGGGCAAATATAGTGTGGCTTTGAGGTCATTGTCCTTTTCAGTGAAGTTAAGAGTACAGAATATGTGGGCCCCTGGTGACTCACACCTGTAATCCTAGCTATTCAGGAGGCTGACATCTAAGGATTGCAGTTCAAAGCCAGCCCAGGCAGGAAAGTCTGTGGGACTATTGTCTCCAATTAACCACCAGAAAACTAGAAGTGGAGCTGTTGCTCAAAGTGGTAGAAAGCTAGCCTTGAGAAGAAATCCTCAGGGACAGCACCCAGGCCCTGAGTTAAAGCCCCACAACCAATCCCTCCCCGCTCCCCACACCAAAAAGTACAGAATATACAACCTACTATTTTTTTGTTGTTGCTTAGGTTTATTTCACATGGTCAGCTAATGATATTTAAGTTTTTAAATAAATGTATCTGTTTCCACTGTTTCACATTGTCTATCTTTTTCCCCTCTCATCTCCCAGTTGTCTGTCCCTCTTACAATTTATATTTCAAAATGGCATTCTACTGTATAGAACAGAGCAGTTTTCTGGTGTAAAAGACCTGTAACTTATTAGTAGAAAGACCCATTCTCCTCCTCCCACTTCTTCCCAAGCTTGTGTCTTGTTTGTTTTTCAGATATAATTAGTTTAGAAGAAGGGATTTCACAATTCTCCTACTCCTGTTCTAAGATGATTCATGATTAAAATCCTATAGTGATTTTGGACCTGGCAGTGTTGCAGTTGTATAGAAAACAGTATTTCATCAGTATTCTGTATTTTCATATGATCCTTTATCATACGATTTACAGGCAAGCGTATATAGAATGTTGAATGGCAATTTCTGCCTGGATGCAAAGTGATTATTTAAGGGTAATTGATTTGTTGTGACTCAGAAAGTTAAATTTTAGTTTTGAAAGAACATGGATCAATGTAGAGCGGAAAAGTTTCTTGATATTGAAGACAAAAGATACTAAAAAGCTAGGCTCCTAGGAGATCTCCAAGGAGATTTTTAGGCAGAGGGTGCTCTGAAGATTTCTTCTTCTTCTTCTTCTTCTTCTTTTTTGGTCAGTCATGGGGCTTGAACTCTGGGTCTAAGTGCCGTCCCTCAGCTCTTCAGCTCAAGGCTAGCACTATACCACTTGAGCTACAGTGCCACTTCTGGTTTTCTGGTGGTTTATTGGAGATAAGAGTTTCATGGACTTTCCTGCCCGGGCTGGCTTTGAACCTCAATCCTCAGATCTGAGCCTCCTGAGTAGCTAGGATTACAGGTGTGAGCCGGCTCTTCATTTGGTCTTAGACTGTGTGTAAGAAGTTCCTATCAACCAGACAGAGTGCAGTGGACTGTGAGAAGCTTTTTAGGTTCATCTGAGATTATTGTTGTGGTTCAAAAGCACATGAAATTGAAGTGGAATGTTTTAGACTAGAACACAAGACAAAATAGATCATTTTAATGTCCCGTTTAACAGTGAGGTAGAATAGCTAATAGTAAATCATACTACAGGAAACTGGCATTCCATTTCCTCTGGAACTTAAAGGGTATTATGAACATCCATGGCATGAAATCTTATAGTAATAAAATAGGTCATGTCCATTATATGGTAAATATTTTAGATGAATCTTTTATTCTTCACATTTATGTAGCAACATGAGTAAAGAATGGGCGAGAAGTTTGCATGAAACATTGTCAGGAGGCAGTGGCAATGTTTAGTTATCCAATCTTGGGAGGAAAGTATCTTTCTTCTACTTTTTTATTATTTTGTTTTGTGGTACAGGGTTTTAAACTTAGCGCCTATTCTTGCTAAGCAAGTATTCAAGAGTTTGTTTTTGGACAGTGTTACCTTTTGCTCTCTCCCATTTTTCCCTCCCTTCCCCATCCACAAGTTGTTCATTTTCAACATAGTATCCAATGAGGTACCACTGCTGCATTTGCTTATCCTTTGTCCCTCCATTTCTGTGCCTCCCCTTACCGTCCCACAAAGACATATAAATAAACAAATAGAACAAAAATAAAAGAAAACAAAAACAGCAGAAAAGATAAAAACCTCATTTCCATTTCCTAGAGATCATTTCAGTAAATATTATTGTATATGATCAGATGCACATAGATATGTGCCTTTCTTTCTGCTATTCTATTTTGAATATTTAATTCACTATAATGAAACAGGACCCAAGATATACCTCCAAAATAATATTAGAGGTTTCTTATCAAACACACTCAGATATATACAACCAAATACACAGTGGCTGTGTGAAGATAATGCATGTATTCTGCAAATATGCTGTTTGTTTTTTAAATGTTTTATGATTTTCCTAATTTGTCACTTGATATCTTAATTCATTCTTATTGAATAAGAATATATTGAATATCTATTGTATATAAACTTATAGATGATTATTAGATTAATTGACTTAGATTTAATTAATTAGATTTAATTAAGATTTCTGAAGGTGGTAGAAGAATTGCTGGCAAGTGTAAAACACATAAGAGGAATGCTAAATCCATATTTGTAAAGCTATACAGGCATTGAGTTTAGCTCTGAAGGTTGAATTTGAGGTAACCAAGGGAGGGGAGTGGGTAGGAGTGGGAGATGAAGAATATGTTTTTAGGCAGTGTGACTAGCAGGTGAAGTGTCACAGAGACTTTAAAGGAATAAAATTTGAAGAGGCAGAATAAGTTCATTGCCACTAGTTGCCTGCAAAAGAAGAGGAAGCAAGAGTTTGAAGCAGGTCATGGTCACCAGAATTTTGAGCAGAGCTTGTCCAGCATTATTATGAATAGCCTTTCTTTCTCTTCCAATGGTTGTCTTAGGTTGATGATAAATTATATGGTCACCCTAGTTGTGGATTTCATCCTAAGTGCAATGGAAAGCTATTGAAATAATTTAATTATGGAAGTGATACAGTTACCTCTAAATGGAATACAGAGCAGTTTTCCCCCCTGGCGGAGCCTAGTAGAGGATGGGAGGAATGTGACTGGAGGAATGCCAGTTTGGATTTTGTGGAAATAATTCAAGTGAAACGTGATTGTGGCCTTGTTGAAGGGAGGGAGACATGGATCAATGTGAGGTATAACTTGAACACACAGTGCTAAGATAATGGGCTACTATTTGGGGGAAAAATAAGAAAAGTAAAAACAGGAATGAATTTCAAAGATATGAACTATTGAAGTGTAAAAAATTGAACTAAAATATTAGCAAGAAAAAAGGGGGGGGAGGCTAGGAGGTGGCTTAGTAGTAGAGTGCTTGCCTTGCATGCATGAGGCCCTGGGTTCGATTGCTCAGCACCATATAAGCAGAAAAAGCCAGAAATGGCGCTGTGGCTCAAGTGGTAGAGTGCTAGCCTTAAGCTGAAGGGCTGAGGGACAGTGCCCAGGTACAGAGTTCAGGCCCCACCGACCAAAAAGAAAAATATTATCAGGGTTGGATGTATTAGTCAGAGGAAGTATACTTGCCTAGTATGTATGAGTCCCAGGGTTTGACCTAGCACAGCAAAAACTAAAAAGAACACGTGTATGGAAATGGGAAGGTGGCTCAGTAGTAGAGTGCTTGGCTTGCATACATGAGGCCCTGGGTTCGATTCCTTAGCACCACATAAATAGAAAAGGCCAGAAATGGTGCTATGGCTCAAGTGGTAGAGTGCTAGCCTTGAGCTGAAGAGCTGAGGGACAGCGCCCAGGCCCAGAGTTCAGGCCCCACGGTTGACCAAAAAAAAAAAAAGAATATGTGTATATATATATATATGCATATATATATGTGTGTGTGTGTGTTTGTGTGCATATATAGACATATAGACATATATATCCACACATATATATTATGTAGAAAATAGTTATATGATCATGAGATAGAGAAGTACTTGCAAGCATAGATGAGCACAGACACCCATAAAAGTGAGCCACCAGTGCCCATGCCTGTAATCCTGGCTACTCAGGAAGCTAAGATCTGAGGATCATGGTTTCTGTCAGTCTGAGAAAGAAAGTCTGTGAGACACTTATTTTCAATTAACCATCAAAAAGTTGGAAGTGGAACTGTGGTTCAAGTGGTATAGTACCAGCCTTGAGCAAAAAAAGTTTAGGGACAGTGCTCAAGCCTCAGTACTGACACCAAAGGAAAAAAAATACTGAATGAAAATAATTTATAATACTTGTCCTTAGTAAGTCATGAAGTTTATTATTTGCATTTTAATTTTAACTTGGACAAACTTACATTTACAGAAGTGAATAGATAACATGTTTCTAATTCAAACAACAGAGAAAGTGGGAAAAAGTACCTGCATTGGTTTTTAGTTAGGGTAAGGTTCTTAATATGCTAAAAACTCAGTTTCTTCCATGAACTGTACATTCATCTACCTAGACGGTATATGAATTGTCTACAGTACATTATAGATCAATATTAAATGTGCATTTTCCCATATAAACAGGATCATAGAATGCACTACTTTGTCATTTTTGTTTTTAACATTTTGATATCTTGCAGACTGCTCCCTGGATCAACATATTATCTGTTTAATTTGTCCTGAAGCAGGAAGATATTGTGAGCTCAAGAATCTGGGGTCAGCTCAGTAGCATAACAAAACCCTGTTTCATAAATGAAATGGAATTGGGAATGTTTTTATGTTTTTCTGTGTGTTGGAATAGTATAAATAACATAAAAATCTAATACGTAGCCATCTGGTTCTAAGTCCATCTCGGGATGGGGGGATTTAGCAGGTTTGTGTGAAGTGAAGGATTTTAGCTGATTTCTAACCTTTCTTTCTGGATTTTTAAAATGAATTTTTCTGGAAAATGTAACATTACTTGCAGATATATTGGGATAGTGTTAGGCATTTTTTCCTCTTACTTGATTACTATCTATAATTCAGTCTTATTTCTCCATACTGCTAATGTATACATTATCTCTCTTTATTTGCTTGTGGTACATAATGAATCTTGACTATTTACCCAGTTCCTAAAAATAAAATAGCTATATCTTTATCTTACTTATCAATTCTGTTTTTATATTTATTTATTTTTGTCTATATCTTCCTTCACATTATTTTTATTTTTTCCTATTTGATTTTTCAGTTGAGTACTTTGCATATAGATTTTATACTTGTTGAATGATAAAAGCCTAAGAGTACACTTATGTCCTGTTGGCACTGACATTAACTTCTCAATATCTATAGTGAGTTTTGATCCTTTCCCAGTCTGACTTAATTTGCTGAGTTTTGCGGATTTTATTTTATTGATTGATGCAAAACTAGAGCTTGAACTCAGCACTTTATTGTTGAGTCACCTTCAGCTCAATTAATATTTTCTCACTTTTAAGACATGACAAAAAATAGTTGTGTACAGATTTGCAATTAAATGTAATTGCAAAGGTATCACTGTGAATAGGGCAGACATAAGATAAACACTACAATTAATTATAGCATTAAGATTTAGTATGGAACAGGCTTTTTTGTCAAGAACTCTCATGGGTTATCTCTGGGATGAAACCTTAGTACTTGCTAATACTATTTTCAGTGCTATGGAAATTAAAATTCCAAAGCTTTCCCCTGTTTCATCTCAGGAAGTCTGAAGGCTACAGATAAGGACCACTATTTCAAGCCTTAATCTCTATCTCCTACCTGGGGAGCCAAAAGTATCTCTACATCTTTTCCTCCATCTCTCCTTACTGTATCCTGTTATAATAAGATAAATGCTTGAAATAGTGAAAGAAGAACCAAAAAGCCTTGCATCCAAAAACTAAAGCAGACCTGTAATCAGCATGTGTATGTATGTGTGTGTGTGTTTGTGCCTCTGTGTGTGTCTGTGTGTGTGTTGTGTAATCAACAAAGAATGCTACTTGGCCTTTCTTACTGATGGATGAACCTTTGTCTCTAGTAGACATCATTATGCTTGAAATATAGGGTTCCCAGTAAATTGAAGTCAATGGAAATTATTAAAAATTCAGAATTTGTGTTCCATTATTAGTCTTAAATCTCTTCCTGTGGGATACTTCAGTACATTCATATGGCCTTAAAAATTTCCCTTCATGTTCTATAATTTTTAATAGTATAAACGTGTGATCATTTCTCTTATTAGCCATCTATTGCTTCTGAAGAGTGCTGATACCTTTGTCTTACTGACCTTAAGTCTCTAATGATGTGGACAACTTGTCATTATGTAATAGTAGCCTTACTTGAGAACTGTCGAAGATTTCCAAAGAAACATGAATTGATCAGCTACCACATAAAAACTATGCTGCCTAGTCAGCAATATCTACAAAATTCAATATTGCTATTAAGATTTTGAAATCTAGAAGAGCAGTGAAGAACAAAAGAAAGAAGAAATGATGAGAAAGGTAGGGCTGAGGTGGCTACTCCAGGAGCCTGCTATGCACTGCAAGGACTAGAGCAGTGATGTTGGAGGCGGGAGGGGGGGAGGGGGACTCAGTCACCTAGAAATAAGGACCACTCTTCAGTCTCAAATTACTGTAGTAAAGACAAATTAACCTGTGTGTTATCATCCAGAGGCTTATTTGAAAAGCCAGTAAAGTGTCACCATCCCTAAAACATGGTGTCATAATTTAGGTTAGGGAAACTGGTGGATAGTGTGTGTGTGTGTGTGTGTGTGTGTGTGTGTGTGAGAGAGAGAGAGAGAGAGAGAGAGAGAGAGAGAGATTGAGATTCCTGGGGCATGAACTCAGGGCCTGGGTGCTGTCTTCTGAGATATCCTCTCCTCCTCCCCCTCTCCACCCCAGTCAAAGCTAGGGCTCTACCACTTGAGCCACAGCTCCACTTTTACCTTACTACTATTATTTTTTGGAAGTTCATTGGAAATAAGAGTCTTATGGGCTTTCCTGCTCAGGCTGGCTTCTAACTACTATCTTCAGATCTCAGCCTCCTAAGTAGTTAGGATTATAGGTATGAGCCACTGGTGCCTGGCAGTACTTTTTAAAATTGTGTGTGTATGTGTATGTGTGTGCTAGTACTTGGGGTTGAATGCTGAGCATCACATTCTCGCTTGACTTTTTTGCTCAAGGCTGGTATGCTACCACTTAACCCATACCTCCACTTCCAGATTTTTGTTGGTTAATTGATGATAAGAATGTCAGATTTGTTTTCTTAGGCTGGTTTTAAACCTTGATCCTCAGTTCTGAGCCTTCTGAGTAGCAAGGATTACAGTTGTGAGCCATTGGCACCAGCTAGATTTTTTTTAAATATAATTTTATTGTTATTAGTAAGATGTTGTACAGAATAGTTACCATTTCATAAGTCAGGTAATGGGTGTATTTCATTTTTTGGGCAAAGTTACCCCTTCTTTCACTCAGATTTTGTTTTTAAGCACTGTTTGGCCTTTTAATCCTTTTTTTCCTTATTGTCAAGGTGAGATACAGAGAGGTTACAGTTATATAAGTAAGGTAACGAGTACATTCCTTGTCAAACTTGTTACCCCTTCCCTCATTTTTCTCCTACTTTACCTCACTCCTAGATTTTTTTTTTAAGGCAACAAAATAAAAGTATTTTTTGTAATTTTTCAGCTTTCCAAAACAGTCACTGACTAGAAATTACTCACAGTCTAACCATGCAGGATGAATGAGTCTTCATTAAAGCTTCTGAAAGGGAAAAGTTAAGCTTCCTTCTGGAGGGATATATCAATGTTATTCGTCCTTACGAGCTGGACACTTAATTCTGTGGACCCGACAGATGCTTAGAAGGTAGTGTTGACTCCAGGGGGTCCTAGACAGTGAGTGTCTGTGAGCCCGATGAGTTACAAGGCCCAGTGTTCAATTTCCTGCAGATTCTTTAGAACTACAGGTAAACCCATCAGTTGTGATGGTTGGTTAAAGCATATGGAAACACAATTTTATTTAAGTATTGCCTTTTGGAAGAAAAATCTGTATATTGAAGAATAAAAATTACCACAGTTAAAATAGGAACATGGAATGTAAAAATGACTTTCTTGTCCCAAATAAAAATGTTACTGGCCAGCAGTATTTGTAAAGTAAAGCGATTACAATGATGAATTTGAAGTCAGGCACTGGTGGCTTCCAAGACTCTATCTTAACCAATACTGGACACTTTATCACACAGAGAGGGATGTATAAATATGATTATATAGTCCAGGGTATTTGTGCAGTATTCAGGAGGCTGAGACCTGAGGTTCATGGTTCAAAGCCAGTCGGGTCAAGGAAGCTTGTCAAACTCTTACCTCCAATAAACTGGAGCTGTGGCTCAAGTGGCAGAGTACTAGCCTTAAGCAAAGACTCTGAAGGGCAGCATTTGTGCTCTGATACCAGGACCAACACACACCCCCTCCCAAAACCATGGCTAGCGTCGTGGCTCAAGCAGGAAAACATCTGCCTAGCTAGTAGAAAGCTCTGTATTTCGGACCCTAGTACTGAAAAAAAAAAAAAAAAGCCTCTGTGTATGTGTGTGTGTGTATACCATTAAGCTTGGCATTGTAGCATGGCAGCAACTATAGACAATATACAGATGAATAAGTATGAATGTGTTCCAATAAAACTTTATCAAGAAAACATGTGGCATGGTTTTCCAGTCTGATTAGCCTAGAAAAGTGGAGACAAATTTTTAGATACATTTTGAAAGTTAGGGTAGTAGACTATGTATTTGATGTTGGAGAAGCACTTGAGAGGAGAGGGGACATCTCAGGGATGGTTTCTGGGCTCCAGGCTTTAATAACCTGTGGGTCATGGTGGTGATGCTAGTTAGGGAATGAGAAAGCAGAAGATCCAAAACTAATTTGCCTAAATAGTGATATGCCAGGTTCTATGTTCTCTATCATCTATAATGACATTATATCAATGTTTCGTGTTTTACCTCCACAATCATAAGTCAAAATGCTACTTTTGTATACACAATCACATGAAAAATTAAAATGAGAATACAAAGAGTCAATAGTATTGATCAGTTTTATTTTCTGCTGATGGGAGAAAAATACTAAAGAAGGAAATTTTGTACCTGTCCTAAGACTTGAACTTAGGACCGTGTGCTATCCCTGGGTTTTCCTTGCTCAGTGCTAGCTCTCTACCACTGAGCCACAGCTTAACTTCTGGCTTTTTGGTAGTTAATTGGAGATCAGAATCTCAGACTTTTCTGCCCAGGCTGGCTTTGAACTGCAATCCTCAGATCTCAGCCTCCTGAGTAGCTGGGATATCAAGCATGAGCCACTAATGCCCAGGTAAAAAAAGTATTTTTGAGTATAAAAAAAAATCAAATATATCAATCTTCTCAAGCTCCCATTGGCTCATTCCCAGCATGTTGATAGCTGTATACACTTTCTCTTCCAACTGCTCACCTCATCCTACTTTATTGCATAAAGCAGGAAATACACGGAGGGGCTGGGGTGTGGCTTCTGTGGGTCAGCGCCCTTGGAGAGGGAGGTGCAGCTAAGTGGGGCTGTCTTCCTTTGCACTTGTGCCACTCCCCAACTGTGTGTAAGAGGCCCTTTTCCAAGTAGTGTCTTATTACCATTAGATATTAACTTGCGATCATAGGATTTTGATTTTATTTATACTTTGATATATTTGGGGTTTTGTATTTTATTAATTTTTTATCAACTTTTGCATTTTATAGGCTTTGCTCTCTGTTCACGATACAGTGGCTCAAAAGAATTATGATCCTATATTGCCTCCTATGCCTGATGATATTGATGAGGAGGAGGACTCTGTGAAAATAATCCGTCTGGTTAAAAACAGGGAACCACTGGTGAGATTGGTCTGCGTCTTATGTGTACATATGAGTAAATATCATGGTGCATCCATATTGGACAGCCTCATATCACCTGTTCCTCTTTTAACACTTACTTCCTCTGTGTCTTCATATTTTATATTTATATGTAGAGGACACAATTTGAAATTAATATGAAGCCAAATAAAATAACAGGCATTCTGTTATTAATGGCAGTGATTTTGAAAATATTACAGGCATAAGCTATCAGCATCCAGCTGCTTCCATGTTTTTACTCTTTCTATCTCATTTCATTAATTTTTTTTTTTTTTTTGGTCGGTCGTGGGGCTTGAACTCTGGGCTTGGGCACTGTCCCTGCGCTCTTCAGCTCAAGGTGAGTGCTCTACCACTTGAGCCACAGCACCAATTCTGGTTTTCTAGTGGTTTATTGGAGATAAGAGTCTCATGGACTTTCCTGCCCTCGCTGGCTTTGAACCATGATCCTCAGATCTCAGTCTCCTGAGTAGGATTACAGGCGTGAGCCACCTGCGCCCGGCTCATTTCATTAATTTTTTAAAAGTTGTTTTTATTTTCTCTAGATGAATGTCCTTATTTCCTACAGTGCAGTGGACAAATCTACTCAGGAATGCTTTTGTGATTGTTTTGTTTGATTTTGTTTGGAAGGGAGCTACCATTAAAAAGGATGAGCAGACTGGGGCAATCATTGTGGCTCGAATCATGAGAGGAGGGGCTGCAGACAGGAGTGGTAAGTGATGGACAAGTCATATTGTTTGGAAAGCAACAGGTCTAGTACATAATTTGAAGGATAACAACCTTCTGTTCTAATACAGTGGAACAAATAGTATGACATTTTTTCTGTCAGAATTCAGGAACCTGTGTAAATCAATGACTAACTTTTATGTGTTGTCATTTTGTACACAAGCTTGTGAAGCTGTCTAGATCTATTTCAGTGTTTCTTTTTTTCTTTCATTCTTTTGTGTGTGTGTGTGTGTGTGTGTGTGTGTGGTGCCAATATTAACTCAGGGGCTTGTGCTCTCATTTGACTTTTTTGGTCAAGGCTGGCACTCTTTCACTTGAGCTACAACTCTACTTTCAGCTTTTTTTTTTTTTTTCTGACTAATTGGAGATAAAGAGTCTCACAGACTCTTTGGTCCAGGCTTTCTTCGATCCTTAAATCTCAGCTTCCTGGGTAGATAGGATTACATAAGCTACTACTACCTAGCTGTTTCAATGTTTCTGATTTTAAAAATACCGTAAAACCATACAGCCTTAAAAGCAGATTTACTATTTATTTTATAAAGTATCAATAGTGGGCATTTCTAGGTAAAGATGTTGGTACTGCGTTTTGCCAGCGTTCTTGATTCACTGCCACAGGTGCAGATTCCAATGCCCAAGAAGTCTGAAAGTCGCTTTTTTCATCCTTAATCTATTAAGGAAACTAATGATGCTTTGATTGTGGAAACAATCACAAATTACAGTTTCTTTTGTATGTAGCATGCAGATTTCCTGAATTTGTATTTTTTTTAACTTTTTTTATAAAGGTGATATACAGCGTGAATTTGTATTTTTCAGGTCTTATTCGTGTTGGTGATGAGCTTAGGGAGGTGAATGGAATACCAGTGGAGGATAAGAGACCTGAGGAAATAATACAGATCTTGGTAAGATGTAAATTAATTTTACACCTGCAGTGAAAATAAAATTAGGTCATAGTATTTCTGGTTCTTCAGATTGGGCATGAAATGTATAGGATTTGCAGTCTAGTCTTTAAATCCCACCTCCCATCACTCAGTTCTTAGTCCCGATTTGTACCCCAGGGTTTTGTTTACAGAATAAAATAAGAATTAAATGTCTCCCAGATTCATTTTGAAGATTAAAGGAAGTGATGTAGATAAAGAATTTAGGTATTAATAGATTGTACCTGCAGTGCTTTTGGTGATGTATCATCTCTCCTCCTCCTGTTCTCTGTACTTCATGCTAGCAATTCTAAGTATAAAAATAGTCATAGTAATTTAGATCTGAGGAGACTTAAAATAAAGTTGTTCTAGACCTGGGTAGTATTTATTCAGTCAACATTAGTTTGTAAGGACAACATGGAGAATGGGTCCTTTTTTTGTCTGAAAATGTAAACCTATAATGAAAATTGGATCTGAGTATCTGAAAATGAAAATGGGTATCTGAAGGATTGGATGTCTTGGGTTGGAGGTATGGTGCAAGTGGTAGAGCACCTGAATAAGAATGAATATTCTGGGGGCTGGGAAGGTGGCTCAGTGGTAGAGCACTTGCCTTGCATGATCGAGGCCCTGGGTTCGATTCCTCAGCACCACATAAGAAAAAAAGCCGGAAGTGGCGCTGTGACTCAAGTGGTAGAGTGCTAGCCTTGAGCTGAGGAGCTGAGGGACAGCTCCCAGGCCCAGAGTTCAGGCCCCACGACCGGACCCAAAAAAAAAAAAAAAAAAAAAGAATGAATATTCTGGGATGTAAAAACTCTTTTTTTTCTTTTGGTGCTGGTCCTAGGGCTTGAGTTCAGAGTCTGGACATTGTCCTTGAGCATTTTTGCTCAAGACTAGCACTCTACCATGTGAGCCACAGCTCCACTTCAGCTTTTTGGTGATTAATTAGAGATAGAGTTCCACTGATTTTCTTGCCCAGGCTGGCTTCTCACTGTGATCCTCAGATCTGAGCCTCCTGATTAGCTAGGATTACAAGCAGGAAACAAGCATCCAGTTTAAAAGTTTTCTAATTCAGTGTAATCTCCATCAAAATTCCAGTGGCATTCTTCAGAGAAATAGAAAAGGAATCCCAAAGTTCATTTGGAAGCACAGAAGTTCCCAAATTGCCAAGTTAATTTTGAACAAAAAGAACATTGTTGGAGATATAGTTCCTGACTTCAAGTTGTAATGTAGAGCTATTGTAATAAAACCAACATGACACTTGTACACACAGATATATAGACCAACATGATAGAATACCCAGAAATAAACCCATGCAACTATAGCCATTGATCTTGAACAAAGGTGCTACAAACATGGTGGAGGAATAACAGCATATTCAGCACATGGCATTAGGAAAACTGGATATTTACATGCAGAAGTCTGAAACAAAATGCTTTCATAATGTACCAAAATCAACTCAAAATAGATGAAAGACTGAAGCTTGGATATTACTGTAGAAAAACACTAGCAGATATAGACATGGGCAATGTGTTTCTGACAAAAGGGCTTCAAGTCCCTCAAGAAATTAGAGCAACAATTGACAAATAGGATTCCATCAAATTAAAAAGCTCTGTATAGCAAAGGAAACAATTACCATATGAAGAGACAGCTTACAGAATGGGAGAGTATCTTTGCCAGCTATTCATCTGGCTATTAATCTCAAAAATATAAATAGAATTCAAAAAATTAAGAACAAACCATCCAGTTAATAAGTGAGCAAATGAACACTTCTCAAAGAAGTACCCTTATCTTAAAGATACCACTAATAACTCCTAACTGTGCTAACAGTTTACTTAAGGACACTACTATTATTGACAGAAGCAAAATTGGAGCTATAAAACAACTAGTTTCAGGGCTGGGAAGGTGACTCAGTGGTAGAGTGCTTGCCTTGCATGCATCAGGCCCTGGGTTTGATTCCTTAGCACCACATAAGCAGAAAAAGCCGGAAGTGGTGCTGTGGCTCAAGTGGTAGAGTGCTAACCTTGAACTGAAGAGCTGAGGGACAGCGCCCAGAGTTCAAGCTGCATGACCCCCCCCAAAACAAAACAAAAACAAAAAGAACTGTCAACATTTTAGTTTAATGTACTTTCAATGGTTTTTTTAAAAATCTAAGTGCATCGCGTAAGAGTTGGATGGTTATATTTTTTTAAAAAGGTACTATGCCATTTGGGAGAAAACAAATGGAACTAGAAGTTATTATGTTAAGTAAAACTAGCCAGACTCAAAAAACAAGTATGGAATGTTTTTCTCATATGTGGAATATATATATGTATATACATGTGTGTCAATACATCTATGTGTGTGCGTATATATACACAAACATACACATAGATGAGAGTCTGTTTTGGGGGGATCTGCAGGAGGGAGAAAGGAAAAGTTGAAGAAGGGAGTGAATATAATAAGTACATTACATGCATGCATGAAACTAGCCCAGAAGCCATTTAAATTGTTCAAAAAAAGATGAAAGCGATGGATGAGTGAGAAGAAAGTACTAGAGGAGCGAAGATGAGCAAAATACATTACATGTATACAGAAATTGCACAAAGAAACATTTTTGTACAAGCAATATATGCTAGCAATTAAAATAACTTGTAAGCTAAGACTATAATAAAAGCTTCCTACTGCCTAGACTTGACCAAAGTGTGGGAAAGTAGCTGTGGTTGTATATTTTTGGTGATGGGAGAAAATAATATGGATTTTTTAAGCAGCCATTTGAAACTCAAAATTTTGAATGTTTAATATTTTCTTTTGAGGACTGTCCTGGGGCTTGAACTCAGGGCCTAGGTGCTATTTCAGAGCTTTTTCTTTCAAGGCTAGCACTGAGCCACAACTTCACATCTAGCTTTTTGGTGGTTAATTGGAGATAAGAATATATGGACTCTCCTATCTGTTCTGGCTTTGAACCACAATCCACAGATCTCAACCTCCTCAGTAGCTAGGTGTGAGCCACTGGTGCCCAGTGAATGTCCATATGTTTTAATGAAGTAATTCAATTATTGAAAATTGACCCTATGGAAATAACTTAGCAAATACATTTAAGCAAAATATTTTGTAGAGGTTTGGAAACCATTGAGAAGGTTGGATTGACCATTCATCCCACTGATAACTTACTGGCAGGCAGTCACAATAGGGGACCGTATAGTCCCTCGCTATATATATGTGGCTTTACTGTATTGCGAATTTTTTGTTTTTTTGTTTTTGGTCAGTTGTGTGTCTTGAACTCTGGGCCTAGGCGCTGTCCCTCAGTTCTTCAGTTCAAGGCTAGTGCTCTACCACTTGAGCCACAGCGCCACTTCTGGATTTTTCTGTTTATGTGGTGCTGAGGAATCAAACCCAGGGCCTCATGCATGCAAGGCAAGCACGCTACCACTGAGCCACCTTCTCTGCACTTGTATTGCGAGTTTTTTGAAGAGAAAAGTAAATATTGATCCTTCACCTATCATGGTGTGAAGTTCCAAAGACCCCCGTAAAGTAGCAATAAGTGAACTGCGATGTAGCAAGGGACGCTTTATAACACTGCTATTTTGACAACGGTGAGGGATCACTGTGTAGATGACTATGTGATTATGTAGGTGACTATGTGACTTAATAATAATGTACTCATCATTGTTAACTTTCATTGAACCCTTAATGACACTGTTGTAAAGGGTTTAACTTCCACTTGAGAAACACCTATACAACTAGAGTTAATTATAGAGGAGATTTTGCTTTGTCTATCTGTGGAGTTTAGTATTAGATGAATTCTTAAGATTTCTGAATTAGACTTATGATATAAGCAATAATGATATTTTCATTTCATAATAACAATATTGCCATTAGAATTTACATTCAGTCTGTTTATCTTTGGAGTCTAATATGTTTATACTCATCAACCAGAATATAATACATAAAAGTGTTTTTACTCTTTTTTTCCTGATGGACATTAGCACTAAATGAATCTTATCTTTATAGCTGTAATACTGACAATAAAGGATTTTTATCTCTAAAACCATGGATGCTGATCCATGGACCTTATCTTAGTCATTTTGACATTATGTTTATTTAAGGCACTATTTGTATTTTGTACTTTTGTTTTGAGTTAACTTGACATGGATATAATCATATTCATTTGTATGTTAAAATAAACAGGAAGTAAAAAAGTGAATATAGTGGCTAATAGTTTTTAACTTGACAAACTTGAGACCCTTGTGACATTAATGGAACATCTACAAAAGGAGTTTTATGGTTTGGTCTAACCATAGTAATTCCAGGCTTGTAAATTCTTAGATGTGTTTAACTTTCTCCTTCTTATATCTTATTATTTTTGATTCCGCTTTTTAAAAATGATTCTCTATTTTCTCTGCTACCAGGCTCAGTCTCAGGGAGCCATTACATTTAAAATAATACCCAGCATCAAAGAAGAGACACCATCTAAAGAAGGCAAGGTTAGTCACTGCTTAAAGATATTTTTTGTAGGTGAGGGGAAATAATGTTTTTTTTTTCTTAAATCTTGGTTGTACCCATGTAGGCTGTTTCATTTTTTTTTTTCTTTCTGTTACTCTTTCTGCAACAAAATCTCCTTCTAGATGTTTATCAAAGCACTTTTTGACTATGACCCTAATGAGGACAAGGCAATCCCATGTAAGGAGGCTGGACTTTCCTTCAAGAAGGGAGATATTCTTCAGATTATGAGCCAGGATGATGCAACGTGGTGGCAGGCGAAGCATGAAGGTGATGCCAACCCAAGAGCCGGCCTGATCCCCTCAAAGCACTTCCAGGAAAGGTGAGCTACTGGCTGGAAGCAGTGGTCTTTCTTCCAGTGACCTTTTGTTCTCTGCAGAATATTGTTCCAGAATGACTGTGATTAAATGAGCTCTAAAACCCTGCTTTTGAATTCATCATCCCTTGGGTTTGGATTTCTGTTTTGTCTAAAGTATAAAGAACGATAAAAAAAAAAATAATGTGACTACCAGGTCATCTTAGGTTTTTGTTATGAAGCAAATGGAAAAAATGGCATATTAATATCAGAATTCATGTTGAGGTGAAAGGTAGGAAAAAATAAGTCATTTTAGTAGGAAGAGAAATATACAAAAATTTGTAAGTTGGAGCCAGACCCTGATAGCTCATGCCTGTAATCTTGGCTACTCAAAAGGCTGAGATAGGAGGATTGCAGTTTGAAGCTAGCCCACGCAGCATGACTCTATTTTCTCTAATTAACCACCAAAAGCCAAAAGTAGAGCTGTGGCTCAAGTGGTAGAGTGCCTGCCTTAAGAGGAAAAAAGCTAAAAAACATCACACGGACCCCGAGTTGAAGCCAAGTGCTGGCATTAAAAGAAAAAAATCTTAAGTTGGAAGAATTGTTTCTTCATTTAAATACTATTTTTTCCCTTTTCAAGACTTTTTTCCTTAAGATTTTTAATATTTTGATGTTACCTTAACCTTGAACGTGTACTGAACATTGATAGACACGTTGACCTTTTCTTTCTCCAGGAGATTGGCTCTGAGACGACCAGAAATACCAGTTCAGCCCTTGAAAGCTTCCAACAGGAAATCATGTAAGTTTGCTAATAAGAATGTAGGATAACCAAATCCTGCTGTTTGATTTTGACTGTTAAAGCAGGTGTTCATGGAAGAAGGAATCCTAATATCTTGCAGTAGATTTTAAGAGTATTATTTTCTCTGGAAGCAAACTCAGAAGATATTCACAATAGGAATATTGCTGTGCATCTTTGAAAGAAAAGATTTGTTTATAATCATAGTCCATTCTTTAGGGAAAAAAGTAGTAACCACAACTCTCACTAATTTCTAAATTTAGATACTTAATAAGTTTAACCTAGAATATGCCTCTTTCCTTTGTCCAAAGCCAAGAGCTTTGGGTAAGGTATTTCTTGGGAAAGATTTGAGGAAAAAATATCTACTACTTTCTTGGGTGCAAAAACATTTGTAGTTAAGAACAGCTCTGTGTGTGTGTGTGTGTGTGTGTGTGTGTGTGTTCATGTGCGCACGCATGCGTGTGCACACACGCGCACATATGTGCATGCATGTGCACACATGTGCTATCTGGACTGCTTTTGAACGCACAGCCTCAGATCTTGGCCTCTTTAGTAGGATTACAGGCAATGTCATTGGTGCCTGGCCTACTTAATTCTTTTCATATCCATCAATCATAGTAACTAGCCTTTATCTTGTTTGTTTGGAGTTTTCACCAACCTAAATTAAATGTTAATGAGGGTAAGAAAAAGGACAGTGTAGAACTCCTGAAAAGCCATGTGGGTTGAGGAGGATTTTTTTTTTCTTTCAGCTAACCCTTCTCTCAGCTTCTTACTCCTTGTTCTCTCCTGCCTCTATCTCATAAATTTTTGTTTCAACACTCCTAAATGTTTCCTGGTTTGGGGTGTTTTGTGAATTTTTAAAAATTGTTTTATTTGAAGCATCAAGACCATACATTAAAAAGCAAAATGAACAAATAAATGGCCCTGGAATTTTACATCAACATCTGTTTTTAGTATTGTGTTCTTCACATCTCCTGTAATTTCTGTCAGTTTGTAGAAGCTTATAGCCCAGGAATCTCATAGTGAGAGAGCCAAAGTACAGCCAAGTATAAATCTCACAGCAAGCAAATACTTAAGTGCAACACTGATTCAAAAGCCTGCTTGTTCTTGTACTTAAGTCTGGGCAGAAGGAAAAAGCACTTGTCATAATGCACGTGGCATTCTAAGACATCAGCATGCTTAAAGTTTAATGTAGCATTTTTTTCTAAGTATGCCTACTTTTCCGTTGGTGGCATCTCCAGCAGAAAGGAACTTTTCAGACACCCCTGACTTGCTTTTGGAGGGATCTGGTCCTGGAGATGTTTGTGCAGTTCTGATATATGCAATTCCTTGGAATAAAGCATGCTACTGAAAAATACCAGAAATATGAGGACACTCCAGTCTAAATCTGTACTCACTTTGTTTGAATCATGACACTTTGGAGATTTATAATTCGATATAATTATGAATTTTCATTTACTTAAATTTGCTTTTCAGTAGTTCTTCCCAACTATACTTGATTTCAATGTGTGTGAATTTAGATGTGTGTTTGTATGTATGTGTGCACATGTGTGTCCATACTTGTGTGCATGAGCAAATGCAAAGGGTCTCTATAATGGCATCTTTAACAATTGCCTCATGCTTTTACTTTACTTTTGTGCCTGTGGTTGGCACTCTATAGCATGTCTCCAGTTCCAGCTTTTTGCTAATTAGTTGGAGATGAAGTCTCCCAAACCTTTCTGACTTCAAACAGGCGGACTTCAAACAATGATCCTCCAGGTTGTAGCCTCTTGAATAGCTAGGATTACAGATGTAAGCCATTGGCACCTGGTCTAACCAATCACCTTGTATCACTGAGTGGTTACTTATATGACTATGATTTTATTCTTTATTTGATTTTTAAGTGTGTCATTATGACTAGAGTTTTCAAGGAGACGAAGTTTGTGAAGATGACTGTAGTATAGAGTTTATGTAAATATCATCATAAAGGCAGAAAGAAATGGCAGGTTTTAGTCTGGCCATCTATGTGTTTATAGTTGTAGAAGAGCTCTGCTTCTGGCTCCAAGGTAAATCAGACCAGGCATTATGATAATCATATCCTCTTCAGGCTTTGGTCTTAACATCCTTATGTAAACCCTTCACTGAAATATTAATCTTTGATGTTTTGTTACTGCTCCCTTCAAGAGGCTTGGCATAACTAACACATGCCCAAACAATAGGCTTCTCAAACAAAATAATGTGCTTTTTAAAATTAAGCATTCCTAAAAATGAAAACATAAAGTTTTATAATGAAAATATTCTCTATGTGTGTGTGTGTGTATACCAGTCATGAGGCTTAAATTCTGGGTCTGTGCACTGTTCCTGAGGTTTTTGCTCAGGGTCAGTGCTCTATCACTTGAGCCACAGCACCACTTCCAGCTTTAATTAGCTATAAGATTCTCAGGGGCCTTCCAGGCTGGGATGGTTTTGAACTTTGATCCTCAGATCTCAGCCTCCAGAGTAGCTAGAATTACAAGTGTGAACCATCAGCACTGGCTAAATGTATTTTTAAATTTTGGAAATGATATTAGGATTCTTCTCCTTTTCTCTGTCCCCCATCTATTTTGGAACAATTGCTTATCCAACCAAAAAAATTGTAATAGAAATGTATTTTCCTTCCCTCTGCCATCTGATATGGTTTTCACGTAATGGATTTGTATGAGTAACACAGAAGAACAGACCTAGATGTCTGATAGATTTTGGTTAATATGACTAGCTTTTGGATTATTGCATAAAAGAGTCAGCTTAAGTGTTCTGGAAATGGGTGAAAGCAAACCTTAAGTCTCAAGTAGCATATAGGAATAGTTTTTCCTGATGGAAACTTGGCAACTTGCATTTCTTATGTCAATATTATTTAAAGTACCCTAACATTTTTGTTGTCCATTTACTTATATAAAACATATGCTATCACCTTGCCTTTAAAAAAGATATATGAGTTTCTTTATTGGAGATATTGTTTGCTCTTATTCTGTTGAAATATATACAATTATATGAGTTAAAAAGTCTTCTTAATTATATAAACATTAATGTACTTTAATAGGTGGTTTTTTAAATTTTTTATGCCAGTACTGGGGCTTGAACTTAGGGGCTAGACATGATTCCTTTAGCTTTTTCTCTTAAGATGGGCTCTCTGCCACTTGAACCTCAATTTTACTTCTTGCTTTTTGCTGCTAATTCGAGATAAGAGTCTCGGATATTTCTGCTAGGGCTGGCTTTGAACCATGATCCTCAGATCTCAGAGCCCTGAGTAGCTAGGATTACTGGCAGGAGCCACTGGCTCACACTGATACAATGTAATTTAAATCCAGCTTGTAAGAGCCTTCAGAAAGAGTGGAGAAAAACTGTTTACATACCTTATTTTACAAGTGTTTTTTTTCTTTCTTGCTATTGTTTCTAACGTATTTATAAGGTGATTTTTTTTTTGTTGTTGTTGCTTTGTATGTCACTCCCCCATGGTATAACCTTTCACTGTATTTAATGTTGGTATAATTTGTGGAGGGGAAGGGAAAAAACAAATTGTTTAAATAGGGATACAGGTGGACCCATTGCAACAGTGAAATGTACAAGATGCTGTGTTGAAAAGCAAACTTTACAACTTTGGCGGGAGGAGGGGAGGTGAGTGTAGTTGTGGAGATGGAATGGGAAGGAATGGTAGGGGAAAATAAAGGAGGAAGCAACAATGTCTGATAAGAAATGTACTCATTACCTTGCTCATGTAATTGTAACCCCTCTGTATGGTATTTTCACAATAAAAAACATTTAAAAAATTGAAGACACAACAACAAAACCCAGAATATTTCAGTGCTATTTTTATTTCCTTTCTTAGTTATCCAAGTATAAATACCCAAACAGTTCTAATCCAGCAAATTGAATAGTAGTAATTTGATATTTTCTTTAATAAAATAACTCTTGTAGAATTCCTGTTATAAGAGACATAAAAATGCAGAAATAAGAAATAACAGCACAAAAACAATATTTTTGAATTTGTTTGAACCAGTTGTTACTATTGTGCGGATAAAATTTAACTGCAGATGATGAATGTCCATTAGAAAAAGGCAGACAACGAGTAAAAGAAGGTATTTGTGGTACATGATATTAATCATTTAGGTTGAAAGTGAGGCATTTAAGAATAAGTCATGGGCTGGGCGCTGGTGGCTCATGCCTGTAATCCTAACTACTCAGGAGGCTGAGATCTGAGGATCACAGTTCAAAGCCAGCCCGGGCAGGAAAGTCTGTGAGACTCTTATCTCCAATTAACTACCAGAAAACTGGAAGTGGCGCTGTGGCTCAAGTGGTAGAGCACTGGCCTTGAGCTGAAGAGCTGAGGGACAGTGCCCAGCCCCAGAGTTCAAGCCCCATAACTGATCAAAAAAAAAAAAAAGAACTCATGGTAGGACTCTGTAATAAAGCTGTTCAAGTCAAGTATATTTTTTTCTTCTGTCATCTTCAATAAACATGTGTTTTTTAAATTTAATTTTATTATAAAGGTGATGTACAGAGGGATTATAGTTACTTAAGTAAGCAATGAGTACATTTTTTGTCAAACACTGTTACCCTCCCATTTATCTCCCTTTTTTCCTCCTCTCTGATTCCCCCCGCCCCAAATTGTAAAGTTCATTTCCAACATAGTGTCTTGTGAGTATCGCTGTTGCATTGGTTCACCTTTTGTCCTTTGTCTCACCATTTTGTTATTCCCCTTCTTCCTCAAATTTAATAAACATATATACAAGACACAGGGTACCAAAATCAAAAAACTGTGATACCAGGGGATATGCCAAAGGGGAAAAAAAATGAAAGAGAAAAGAAATAACTTCACACAGTACATTAAAGAAAAAGGAAAAACTAAAACAAAATCTTTAAAAAAAACCCTCTTGTTTTCATACTTGGAGTTCCTTTTGATTAGCATCATTTTATGTGGTCATATGTACTTAGCTACTGAGCTATTGTGATCCTCTGCTAGGACTATCCTAGACAAATACTAATTA